TAGTAATTATGTAAATCACCCCTCCTCGTGCACGAGCACCTGATACACATTCATCAGTTTACGCTGCTCATTTACACACTTTTCCTGAAGATAGAAGAGTTTGTTGAATCTGAAGTGACAGCTTCATACGAACAAAAGTAAGAGAAATTTAAGATAAATATATGAACAAGTTCTTGCATGAGGCCCATTGAAGTTAAGTCATCCCTTTGGATTTGTTAGTTGTTCTCTGTGTTCCTGTGTACGAAACCTGCCTGTCCCACAGATCACATCTTCAGTCCTCCTGTTCTACTCATAGAGCAGGGGTCCCCAAACTTTTCCCTGTAAGGGCCACATAACTTTTCCCTTCTCTGGTGGGGGGCCGGAGTCAATTTGTAACAGAAAAAGTGTGACTATTGCAGGAGTGCCTAAATGTAAAAATTTATCGTTTTCCAGAAAGCACAATCAAATAACCCTCTCTGGGTTCTTCACAGTATGTATTCTGCTGAGCTAACAGTCCACTTTTTAGCTTTGAGAGTTTGTCTGCTCACATTTGGCCTCACAAGCTATCATACTTGTCTTTGTGACGGGATTCATAGTGTCGCCACAGACTGTATTCTTTGAATACCACCACCACCTCTTGACAGATGAACAAAAAAATAATCGTTTGCCCACCGCAGCTTAAATGCCCTGCATTCTGAATCAATTTTTCTCTTACCTAGTCTTTTCACCATTATTCCATTCTCTCTTTGAGAGGTGCGGGTTTAGAATTTTTTTCTGGGGGTTGCCAGATAGGGGCACAGACCGCAGAATGGTGGAACAGAATGTCACGTTATATGCGTGTATGTATGAAATAGTTACTAACTAATAATAGTTAATAATGAAAATAGTTCATAACTAAGGAACATTTTATTGCAAAAGTCCAACTTTATAATCAAATATAAAACACAAATATGAAAAAAAAAACCTAAATGCTCTCTGGTATTGTTCTGGGGGCCAGACCAAATGGGGAGGCGGGCCGTAGTTTGGGGACCACTGTCACAGAGGAAAAAGGATTTTCTGCTCTCTGTCCCAGTGTTCACTTTGATAACGTCATCACCAACGGACCACTCTGGAACTCTAAGAAACTCACTGTGTGGACTGAGTTGTCCATTCACTCCAACAGCAAGTTAGTGGCATTGTCTAAGAGTCATTATTTCCCCCACGATTTTGCCACAGCCACTAATCAGCCCCCTAGCTTTGCAGAGTTTCCTGTTCAACCCTTTCTGAATTTTTGACTCCAACCAGTACCTTTAATCGTAAACCTATTCAAGAGCTCTCTGTGTTCGGCTGAATTTTCGAGTTCTCAGTCTGCGTCATTACAGTCATTTGGTTGGACTTTTTTGTCTAATGTAGCTAGAGCCCAGTAGTTTTCACTTTGGGCCAGTTTCCTTGTAAATTAAAGATGGTGATGACATGAAATGGTTTAGAAATCTACATGATTCTCACAATAGTATGTCTCATTCCTGCTGAGAGAGAACTGGTGCAACTGAATAAGAGTTTTTATAATTTATAAAGCACTTATTCTGGTTTCAGCAGCTGCCTTCAGTCTGTGTGTTTATATCTGTCTTTAGTTTAAGCTTTGAGCACCAAAAAGACAGATCTGGGGACAGACTGTTCAGTTGACCATAAATGGTGAAACTCCTATTTCACTGCTTCCTCTCTACAAACACTATGAACACAGAAAGGCTAAAGAAATGTCTAAATTTGGTTTTGCAAAACAGAAGGAATAAAGAAATAAAAAAAATCTAACATGAAACAAATCTCTTCAAAAAAGTTACAGCCATGCTTAGAAGTTTCCATGCATTCACCGTGGGCATAAATGTAATTAATATATTTTAATTATCTTTAGAAACATTATATTTCAAAGGTAGAATGATTATTCAGCATTCAACTTCAATAATATACAATATTAATTTCATGCAAAAAAAATGCTAATTATTTATTTAAAAATCAGACAAAGTGATTAAATGGATTTTTACTTTAGATTCTGTCTCACAATTGAAGCGTATCTACAAAAAAGACAGTGTTTCCCCTAGGAAATTGGACTTGGGGGTAGGGTTGGGCATAATCGTATCGTGTGCAATTAATCATCAGAAAAACATTAATCGATTACTTTTTGGCACTTGACAATTAATACGATTAATGGCAGGCAGACTGACTGGAGATTACCCCGGTCAGTCCGCTCAATGCTCCTCCCCACTTCAAATATGAAGAACATTAAAAATGAAGTTCTGTAATTTATTTATCTATCAACACAATTGATGCCTGAAATCTGTAATTTTCACACAATTTGGAACATTTTTTTATAAAGAGCAAATCTTGCCCACTAAATTGTTCGTGTGACTACAAAATAAGGGTGTCCAGGGACTCCAGGGGATTAATCGTCAAATTAATCGCCATCGGCTAAATACCACAATTAATCGTTCGTGATTTTTTTTTTTTTTTGCCAATATTGACCAACCCTACTTGGGGGGGCTACTTGTTTTATAAAAACATAAATTTACGTGACTATGCAATTATGGTAATAAATTTACACATACATGAATATTTAATTGCCTAACTACATCCTAGTTAAGCACTCCTCATGATAATTATCAATAAAATTATTATTGATAATAAATGATCAGAACTGTGTGCAGCAGATGATCTGAGTCCAGAGTTCTCAGTTTGAAACCTTCTGGAGCTCTTCTGTGTGACTCTAGGTGTGACAGAGTGTGGATGGTTGATTGTCTCTTTTGTGTCCCTGATGGAGACTGGAGACCTGTCTGTCCAGGTGTCTCTGGTGAACTGGAGACCTGTCCAGGTGTCTCTGGTGAACTGGAGACCTGTCCAGGTG